CTTGGCCTCGCCACTCTCAACTGCCACGGATTCAACGTGAGCTCAAGATCGACCCCGTTGATGCCATGTCACCTCACGCAGTGGGCTCGATCCCCATTACCCGCATGATGTTATGGGGTGTCCTATACATACCACCGACTACGACTTGCGTCAAAGTCAGCCATGGCCACAACGTGCAGCTGGGCCTGAGCATCCTCGCCATCGCCCCAACGAATGAATGCTCAATCTGGGGATGCGTTGGTTAGAGTACATTCACAGAGGCATCGACGTGTGGTCAGTGGGGGTCATCAGCGCTGTCGAGCTAACGTTAATGTCATGTCAAAGAGGTACACAGCACGAGCATCGACGTTTCTGGCCCGTCCTCGAGGCGACTTGACAACCACACAACGCTTCTGCAGTTGGCGCAATCAGCAATGTTTCCCTCCCATCCACGTTGTCACGTCCATCTCGCGATGCGCGCGATGCTGCACAACGGAGCGCAAAACACTGCAAATCTGGTCGCAACGCTGATGTAGCAGTATGCGGCGCTGATCGAGAGTTTCTTTCTCCGTCCGCATGACGATTCGGACCGCCGGCCAGACCAAGCCACGTTGTGCACAAATTCCAGAGAGACTCGGCACTGTGATGACCCAACAACTCGTGGCGGGTTGACTGCAGGAGCTTGCGATATTTGATTGTTTTCTTTTCAAATCACCATGGCGGACATGGGCACTTGCACATAATGTTTCCGACGGAATTTCGCGATGGTCGTCGTCAAGAAGACAGCATTTGTCCTCGGTGACGCACGAACAACAACAGGATGGACACATTCCGAGAGGTTTTCGTGGCCTGAAAACCAAACCTCCTTCGGGTGCCTTTCAGTTTCCCTCGGGCTGGGCACATCACAACCAAACCTCGATATCATGCCACCAATGGAGAGATGGGTTTACATGCGACACAGAGGTCAGGCATGAAACATCCACTCAAGAAATAAACGCAGAACCAAAACAAGCAGTCCTGGAAACTGGGTTGCCGGTCTGTTTAGGTGTTGGTGTCTGTTGAATATATCGACGTGTTGTGCACAGTATCAAGTTGCGACTCGACCCGTTTGACACCTTCGCGAAAGTGACAGGGGATGTTTCTGCTGCCAACCGGGAACCTCCCGCGATTGTGGCCACGCTTGCCAATTAAGTTGGCTAGGATAAGGAAACGCAGTGGATCGTTGATGCTGAGCATTTTCAGTGCAGCGTAAACGCATATTGCGTGGGTCGCGATTTGGATATTATCTCCCCTTTTTTGGTCAACACTTTCTAAGTTCACCATTGCCATGCTCTGTACGAACAAGGACGACGACCCTGTGCGACTCGTGTGGCGTTCCCGTCCAGGACACAGTTGTCCCAAGCGACGGACATATACGGCGCTGAGCATGTCCCGACAGCTGAGCTTGAAGTCGACCTCTGAGGTGCGCACAACCCGTGCATTTTATTTAGCGTCGCAACAGGATCTTTTTACAGCACTACCCCTGTTTTCCATGCACTCCATGTTGTAAAACTCGTCGAGCTCGGAAGCAGGCGTTCAATGCATTCTCTACTCCAGGTCTGCAAATAGATCCAGTTCGTCGTCTTCGGCGGCGGCAGGGGCAGCGGCGGCGACTTCCTGCTTGACTTGGTCTTCTGGCAGCAAAAAGCCCTACGCACGGACCAGCCATCCATGTTCATCACCCTTCATACGATTCAATGCAATGTGTCTTCCGCCACGACCTACCTCGGCCGCTTGGGGGCTTATGTCGCATGACGGGTCGTCACGCGTACTCAAAAGTGTGACGTGATGCTGGACAAGCAGCTGCCATACAGGAGCGTTCCCTGGAGCAAACTCACTTTTCAACCGGTGCAAAAACTCGTTGAACAACGTCGTCCGGTGAATCTAGGCGACATCGCGTCATGTGCATGTTATCGTCGACGAAAGCTTCAATATCGTCCCGAAAAACAAACAGATCAACCAGGACAAAAACCCAAATCCACAAATACGAAACACATGGCATGGATTGGCAGACTCTACCTCTGGGCTTCGCCGGCGAAAGTAACGCAAGCACTCGAGACCCTTGGAATGGTACCCCACCGCGTCTTGACGAAAAAATCCCAAGATTTGCTGCTCCATCCCCAAAACCGCTACATTACACACGTCGGTAAGTTTCCGTTGGTCCAACGAGTTGCATGATCAGTGAGAATTGAATGACAGAGAATAAATACGATTGGAATTGATCCTACCGAGCTGTGATTTGGCCAACTGTTTGGTGGAAAGAAGTGCTTCAAAGTCTGAAATAGGGTTCATCGACCCGACCGCCGTCACGTCTTCGCCCAGCAATTCCTTTGTTCCACAACCATTGGTTCGAATTATTTTGAACAATCCACTTACATCCAAGTCCAAGTCGCCATCATCATCCCCACCGCCGTCGCTGGCCTCCGCCGGAATCGCAGATATTTCGGTCCCACTCTCTGCAGCCACTTTCGCATCGACTTTGATATCGCTCCAAAACGACTTCTTCTTGTTATCCTTGGCCTTTGCAGCTTCTTTCAGCTGAAACGCCCTGTCAAACGCTTGGATGGCAGGTAACGCTGGTTCAAACAGCGATCGGTCTTCCCGCAAATGCCTGCATGATAAGTTGCAAGTCGCAACGATATTCGTTAAACGACTGAAAACGGGGACATCACATCTATACCGTTCAACAAATGGAGGTAACGGCGCCAAGGGAGCGTTTGGGTCCATCGCGCGCTGGGCAATCGTATCGTACAAGCGTTGGAGCGCAGGGTTGAATGCATGCGACGTCGACGCAGGACGACAGAGCTGGTCGACCAACGCGTCGGCAGCCGCGAATTGCTCTAATGGGTACCATCAGTTCTAGGCAGGATGGACATACAGGAAAAGCTAAGCGAAAAACTGTAGTCTTCAAAGCGAAGTTGAGGGTTCAAAATGGAATTTCCAGACGATAGACAGAAGTACACCAGTTCAGATTAATTTCGTAGATATTGTATCATCACGCAGCCTTTCAAGAACACTTTACGAAATCTTGCGCGTAGCAAACCCCCAAAAATGATCCAGATGAGGCAATTACCTGTTGTGGGCTGAATTTTTGGGTTTGTCACAAGTGATGGAAACTCGTACGGGCGCAGATCTTCTTCGAATGGCAATTGCTGCATCCATAAGCAGTGCAGTCGAGGTTCTTCTATATCTGCATATCAAACATCTCAGTGCACAATCTTCGATCGCATTTCATTTCGAAGTATCGTACTGGGAAAGAGCGCGACTATTTTTGGGGCTGCATTGGCAGCTCG